AGTAAGGAAGAATATCACTGGCTTTAAAAGGGGCACTGTTATGCTTGTTGGAGGTTTTTTATTTCCTGTAGTGTGTTATTTAAGTCTGTGTGCATGTAAATGGTCGGCAAAGGCTTCAATCCTAATGCTTTCTCTCCCACACACTGCCTGAAACGCCTCCATTGGCCTCTTTTGTTTACTCCTGTACAAAAACGCCCACACTCCTATTGGCTAGTGTTCCATCACATTGAACATGATAGAATAAGGGGCGGGACATCTCTCAGCGGTTAACCAATCACAACAGAGCCGGCCAGCTAACCAATCAGAGCAGACTGGGCTCTGGTTTCAGACAGAGGGTGAAAAGAGGTGCTGCAGCACAGGCAGTATGAGAAAAATAAAGAGCTTTTTGAACATTAAAGCATGGAGACAGTAGAGACACTACATACAATTCTGAAACCTGAAAATTAGCAGAATATGTCCTCTTTAAAATGTTTGCTAAACAAAAAATGGCCTTTATTAAAAAAATATCTTACATCTTTGTATTTGCAATCAGTGAGAAACAAATCTGAGTTTGATTTGGTGTTTCTGCTGCCATCAAGCCAATCCGCTGGGATCCTTTCGAGGACACATGAAGATTGCTTTGACATTTACATCACGTACTTGAGTCACCCTGTTGCTCACATTTGCATTTCAGGAGTCGTTGTGTTCCCTCACCTTTTTCACACACGGCTGCTGAACCCTGAGGTTTTTTTTGCTGTTGGCCTTTACGAATGCCACAGACAATAAATTACCGCTGTGAGATTCTTCTACAATCATAGCCCCGCATCAGTTTCAGATAGTGCATGCAAGGACATGTAAGAACAATTTTTGTGGGACATACATATGTGATGGTTGGAATACACAGCTCCCAGAAAAAACACATACCACCACATGAATTAGTGAACATTAGTCAAGGTCTTTTGAAGGTCTTAAGCATGATTGCAGCACGTTAATGAGAACAGGGACGGACTCCAAACCACTTTGGACCACTTATGCAGCCTGAAACATGTTTAATTCAAAATGCAGCTACCATATTCTCCACCATTACTGGTCTCAGATGCTGAAATGACTTTGCTTAGGGCTCCTCGGAGATAAATGGCACACAAACGAATGTAAACATTGCTCTCTGTCCCACAGACATGCATGTTTGTCCATGTGGAAGAAGCTGCGTGGATACAGATGAATAGGGGGTGATTAACATGACCTCAGAGCCAACAGGAGAGGAGTAACTGTTGGCTCCTGACTTTATTTATTTTGCATGGTACCTTACAAATGGAAGGTTTAATGAGAAGAAAACAGAGGGGGAAATGAACCAAGATGAGTTGCCCCAAGGAAATCATTAGCACACATCATTACTCTTGACTAAACACCGCAATGAAGACTGTATGCAGTAGGACGCTTAGACTGTAACCAAAAAGAAGACATTTAAAAAGCGAGCATTGCAATTGGACATACACATCCCAGACATCCTCCGATTGGAAAAAGGACATGTATGTAAGTATGCCCTTTGAAAGTGTGTCGCCAAAAACATCCATTAAACATGGAAGGGAGTTTTCCAAATAAAGCACTAAGAAAAAAGCAGTAGATAAAAAGGGTGCAGTCTTTCAATTAAAGGGGACATATAATGCTCATTTTCAGGTTCATATTAGTATTGTGTGCCCCTACTGTGACCTGTCTCCATGCTTTAATGTTCAAAAAGCGCTTTATTACTGTTTGCAGACCATTAAAATGCACCAACACCTATATTTCACACTACAGGAACGAGTAAACAACAAAAAGCATAATAGGAGAAATTCATTTGGACATCCTCCGATCAGATGAAGGACACAAATGTATGACCTTTGAAAGTGTGTACTCACAAACATCCAGCAAGGTGGCTGCAGAGTGAGTTTTCCAAATAAATCAACAAGAAGACGGCTACCCTTTGTAGAGGTATGGGTGCAGGAGAGGTCTTTTCCATTTAAACCCTGTATCCAGGAAATTGCAGCGTAACAACAAGACCCCAACAACATCCAAAAGAGAGCAGGCAATCTGTTTGCCTTTATGATATCTATTCAGAGAGGAGTTGGGGTTGGGAGACACAGCTGAATAAAGTCTTCTGGGACTCAATAGTGTTTTTCCCCTCCTGTCACCGGGCAGCCTGTGAGCTAAAAGCCCAGAGGGACAGAAGGCAAACGGGGATAACATCGAACCAATGTTGGGAGGGTTACCATGAAAATGTAATTCTAGTTATATAGTTACCTTTAAAAAAAAACCTTTTTCAAAGTATCAAAATGTGACAGTAATGTAACCTGATTACTTTCCATTACTTATGGGTTGCATCAATATCAAATGCAATGCAATAAAAGATCAATTAAAAAGCTGTTTTGGTTTATCTCATGAAGTAAAAGCGAACACATTAGTGCTACTTAATAAATCTGGTGTTTACGTGCTGCATTTAAAAAAAAAAAGTAATTAAAATGAAGAATCAAAGTAGCCTAAATGAAAATCAAAAAGCAGGCAGTACGTCTTGCTAATAATATATTGATCTTTATTTTTAAAATGTATTATAACATTGTTATCCTGCTGGTAATGCCCATTTTATAGAACTGTAACTAGAGATGTCCCGATCCGATCACGTGATCGGGGATCGGAGCCGATCACGTGATTTTCAAAAGATCGGAATCGGGACAAAAAAATCGGGGATCGGATTTTTTTAATTTTTTTTTATTATTTTTTTTTTTATTCAATGTTACAAAACAAAAATGACCATGTTCAAGTCTTAAAGTCATCCTGAGGCCTTAGTTTTGGTTTCAAATGACAGAACATCATGTATGTGTTGCTTCTTTGGGGCTTGTTTTCAGAGACCTGGTTGCTTATTTCTCTCAAATCTGGCAACAGAGTGGGCAGGGCGCAGTGTCTAATTGTAGCAGTAAGCTAACGAGTACTGATAAGCTTTATTTTTGTTTTGATCCAATGCTGCACAACTGAACTGATCCAATGCTGCTGTGAAAGAAAGAAGCTATATCCATGTTGGATAGAATATCCAATTTAAATAAAAAAATAACCTTAAGGGACAACTTGAATGCTTTTTTTTTTTCTTTTTTTTCTCTTAATGCATTGCATAAAGATCGGATCGGGAAAAATCGGTATCGGCAAATTGTCAAAATCAAATGATCGGAATCGGATCGGGAGCAAAAAAAGGTGATCGGGACATCCCTAACTGTAACGGTCATTTGTTTACAGTTTGTTTTGTTTAAGCACTTTGAATTGCCGTGTGCTGAAAGGTGCTATAAATAAACTTGCCTTACGTACTTTCTAAAGTCACTGTCGGGACACAGTTACCTTTTTTGTATGTTTACTATGTAACACTGTTGCATGTATACTGTAACTCAATACTGTGTCTATCTCAAGTGAATAATGTTTGATCCAAAAGAAACCCATCGGGTCTTATGTTACTGGAAACGTATTCAACATTGTGTGGCTTAATGAGGAATTCATGTTGATACAGCGTACAACTCCAATACAAAGGAGGTCGTTTTTAAATCAATTTGACCTACATTAGTGACACAAGATGAAAGGGGCCCTCCAACAGTTTTCATGCTTTCTCAGTCTGTGAATAAAGTGTCTGATGTGTTTCTGAGAAGCTTTGCCTAGTCTGAGGAAATAAACGCTTATGATGTCACACCGATGTCCCCTACGTTATCTAGGCTTTATCTTGGAACATTCATAACATCATTTATTTTTATAAGCTGGGAAGTTACCAGAAAGAGAGAATCTGAGACACTATTAAGAGACCCCATTATGCTTTTTGAGGTTTTCCCTTTCCTGTAATCAGAATCAGAAACAGGTTTATCACCAGGTGGGTTGATACGTACGAGGAATTTGACTTGGTGTCGTGGTGCATACATAAAAGTAAAACGAAAATAAAATAACACAGATAGAGAACTATTATTAAAAATATAGTAAAATAAAATCTAGCAGTGTTTACAATGCAATAGAATGGAATAAAATATGCAGTAATAATACAAATTAAAAAAAGATATTGTGTACATTGTGTGCATTGTGTGCATTAATGCAATGAATAGACTGTAATGTGTTATATAGGTTTTTGTGCATGTCAATGGTCTGCAAAGGCTGAAATCCCAAAGTGTTTTCTTCCAGAACATGGTAAGATCACCAAGTAACACTCGCGCTCTTACTGGCTAGTGCTCCAACACATTGTACGTGATGAGCTAAGGGGCGGGACATCTCTAAGCGGTTGACCAATCACAAAAGAGCCGGCCAGC